CTCTCCACTTGTTGTGGACTACCCTTCATACACTATAACGTTACACTCAGCAGGACTTTACTTACCAAAATGGCAGTTTTTCAACTACTTTTGAGCTGGACTTCGCAGGCGTTTATATTTCTGTTCTTTCTGACTTTCATTGCGTTTCTTGGTTGTTGCTTGTATCTTAAATACATTCATATGAAATATGACCACATACCCGGACCACCGAGAGACAGGTATCCTACGTTAAGTGGGTTGTTGTTTAACTAATGTTAGCCCTAGTGCATGCTAACGTTTCTTATTTTCATATGACTTAGCCTTAGTAGGCAAACACTGAAACAATTGTGTTGACATTCACTTACCTGACACTTTGTTTTTCTCGTCAGCTTTTTCTTTGGGCATACACCGACGATTTTGAGAATGATGAAAAATGGCGAAGTTGCACACGATAAATTTCTGGAATGGTAAGCACGAGCAAAGTTTATACATAACTACTATAATGTCGCTAGCTTGGTGAACGTTAAACACTTACAGGCGTAATGGGAAAAAATGTCAACTCAGAGCAAACTCCACTGCAAATACTGTGAAGTTATGGCGTAGCCCCTGGGCCTCTGCTATATTTCACAAGAAAAGCACAGTCATTGATTTAATAACAAGTTAAACACAACCTACATCATCAATATAAAAGCATACATGTTAGCACATTATAGACATTAAGCCTAACAAAGCAATTTACAAACCAATTTGCAGAAGAATGCAAAGACATATGCAATACAGGACCAAACCATTACGCCATAAAACATGTTGGGAATGTTCTTAAATAAACATTTTCATAAAGAGTAATATCTCTACATTTTACATTTACCAGTAGATGTTTCAGTCTCAGTAGCAGCAGCATGGCAGTGGAATATTTACGCACTTTGGTTCTGGGTTGTTATGACATGCAGCTGTCCAAAGCCCATGCTGTTTTCCAGATAATATTATTTTACAATGTGCAGCTGTCTGCAATAAAAGTAGAATTTCTTGTGCAAACATATGGGCATACTAAGGAGTTATTACATCATAGAGTTTTTATATTACTATAAAAATCAGACTTTACTGGTACAACCCTAACCCTAGTCCAAATATAGTCCATAAATACTATATATATGCATAAAGCTGAAGATTGTAAATTAATATTATCCAGAAAACTGTATGGCTGGGGGTGGGGGGTGGAAGCATGACTCAACAGCCACATCAGTCACTTGCCTAGCATCCGACTTTGACAGATGCATATCTTAATGCTCTCTTATAGCTCTTTTTTCTGTCTTTTGCAGGTGTAACAATTGTTTCAAAGTTAGAAATGTGTAATTAAGTTGTCATTTACAGGGCAGAAATTTATGGGTCTGTCTTCAGATTAAATTTTCTACATTACGTTTCCATCGCTGTGAGCTGTCCAGAGGCAACCAAGGTACCTAAACACCACATATCACGGTAGTATTTGTGTAACCAGATCTTGCATAAGTATTGCACAATGAACAGTGTGACAGAGCACAGATAAAAAGATACACCTGCTTCAGTAGAGGTTCTCGCAAAATAAAAGTGGCGCTACAGTGTCAACTATTGCCCTTTTTGGTAAAAATTCATACTGTAAGCACATTGCCTGATAATATTTATTTTATATATTCTAAAACCTTTTGTCTCTCTCTGTTCCCTCTAATGCTTCTGGTTTCAGGAAATCCTGATGTCCCCAAAATACACCAAAGATAAATTCTTTTGCAAAAAACTCTTCAGCTTGTTTGGTCAAAGGTAATTTATCAGACTGTAGGATTAGCTACTGGTACAAGTGCAGGACCACGTCATCAAACTGGTAATTTGTGATAGTATCAATATGTTGAATTCTTAAACTAACAATACAGAGTAAAACCTGCCTTAAACTGTGGCGTCAACTCAAGTAATTTTGTCATTTTAGTACTGTCAAGTCAACTTTTGAGCACCAGGCAATGACTGCTGGTTCACTTTACACATTTGTTATGTCAGACCTTATTTGACATTTTGAAAGGATTGTGTTCCATGTCTCTCTCTAAGGTTCCTAGGTAATGGCTTGGTAACAGCACACAACCACGAGAAGTGGTATAAACAGCGCCGGATCATGAACCCTGCCTTCAGCAGCTTGTGAGTTATTAACTTTTCAAAAAGAGGCAAAATGAAGTTGCTCAGCCTCTTTTTATCTATAGAGTTTACAACTATTGTCAATCCTGTTCAGATTGTTTGTACTTTTTCATCAGTTTTTTATTTACAGATTTCCTGTGAAGCTGTGCAGGTATGTCCACACCATGCTACTCCACTGTTTTAAACTATCATTATTTCCAGGTATTTGAGAGGTCTAATGGGCACCTTCAATGAGAGGGCAGAGAATCTGATGAGTAAACTTGCCGATATTGCTGACAGCAAAACTGAGACCAGCATGCTTCACCTATTCAGCTGTGTTACCCTTGATGTCATTGCTAAGGTACTGTGCCACTGTTTTCCAGTTTCCTCTGCAGTTGGTTTTTACTGAATATAGAGAGAGCAGAGACTTAACACAAAAGTTCATTTAATCAGGTTGAAACTATCTTGGTACATATGAATGTATGTTGCTTACTCAATAATTCTCAGGTTGCTTTTGGTGTGGACTTAGACCTGCTGAAGACTAGTACACCTTTCCCTAAAGCCATCGAGACATGTCTAAAAGGGCTGCTGTACAATGTCCGAGACAGCTTTTTTCAGGTATGACTTGACAGCAACAGTATATGGAGTTAATTCCGTGAACATTCTGTAAACTGTCTAACATTTTAAAAACTTTCATTCCCAGTTCAATCCAAAGAACAGACCATTCATTAAAGAAGTGAGGGAAGCGTGCCACCTGCTGCGCACAACTGGGGCTCAGTGGATCCATGAAAGAAAGACTGCCATGGAAAATGGCGATGACGTTCCTAAGGACATCCTCACACAAATTATCAAATCTGCTGGCCAAGGTTACCGTCCCTAAAGTCCAGCAAACAGTAGTTTCTGCTATGGATAAAACAAAGCGTAGAAGTACACAATGTTGAGAATAATTGAACAAAAAGTTAAGGTAATAAGGATAATCACCTTTATTTGGCCAAGCACGTTACACACACAAGGAATTTAGGAACCGTGATTTGAAACTCCAACCTTCCAGTGGGCAGACGACCGCTCTACACACTGAACCAGTCACCCACAGCATATAACAAAAAATTTAAAGCACAATTATTTCAATATTAACTCAACATAATAATAGATTTTCAGAGCACAATTGCAAGTTTGTCCTACTAACTGTTTCCAGACAGTACACTCCAGAGAGATGAGATAATGTTCATACATAGCTGTGCAGTTGTTAATGTCTTCAATTTGCAGATCTTGCTGACAAGTAATCTTCCATATATTAGTTTATATGTTAATACCATTTCCTTCTCATTCCAGAGGACAGCATGACTAAAGAAGATGAGGAGATCATGTTGGACAACTTTGTGACATTCTTCATTGCTGGCAAGTCTCTGTTATGTCTGTGGTGATGTGTGAAATGCTTCAAAATAAACATGTTACTCTACTTCCTTTGTAGCAGAAAGTCATACTAACAAAGTAAAAGGAACATTTCACCCAAAAGTTCAATAATGTGTGGGCTATCCATCAGTTTCACTGTGAATTCTGGACATGTGCAGTTCGCCACAGTGTGGGTGATTTTAATATCTTTCAAGAGTGATGACATAGTTTTTCACAATAATGTATACACTATAATGTTAACTGTTTTTCCATCCATTTGGACATAAACTACGACGAGACATAAGCTATGATGACCTGGGTCAGCTGATCTATCTCTCACAGGTACAAGTCTTGACACTAGGATGAAATATGGTTCAGCTTTTCAGGACTATTGTTCACTCACATATACTTTCATTCATTTATTTACCTCCCTCCAGGTGCTAAAAGAGACTCTGAGGATTTACCCGACGGTTCCAGGTGTAACTCGTGAGCTTCCTGAAGACATGGTCATCAGTGGTATCCACATACCTGGAGGATGTGTTTGTGCTGTGAGTCATTCACTTTTGAATGTGTTTGTACCTCAAAATCCAAAAGGGTTTCATACACTATTGTGCTTGTTTTACATACATAATGGACAATCGGCACTTCCCACTTAAAAATACATGACAAAACAACACTTTTTACAAATATACTTAGCTGTCAAAATGTGCAATACATTTCTCAGTTCAGCTCCTATGCGACTGGCAGAATGGAGAAATTCTTCAAGGACCCACTGACATTTGATCCTGACAGATTTCACCCAGATGCTCCGAAGTAAGTCTTGCCATGTTAGAGCATTGCCACAGAGGACACAAGGAAATGGACTATATTAACTGAAGTTGTCGCTTATCTGTTTTGCAAGGCCTTATTACTGCTACTACCCCTTTTCCCTGGGTCCACGCTCCTGTCTGGGACAGAACTTTGCTCAGGTGCGTGGTGACAAAAGCGCCTGTAAATAATCAAAACATTCATAGGGGCACATGCAGTAACAACATGCTGAATTAGTCTAATGGTTGATGTTGTGTTGTCAGATGGAAGCTAAGGTGGTGATGGCCAAGCTGCTCCAGAGGTTTGACTTCACTCTTGTCCCAGGACAGACATTTGACATCCTGGACACTGGCACACTCAGGCCAAAGAGTGGAGTGGTGTGCACTGTCAGTCACAGGAATGATAAGAAATAGATGGTCATACAGTACCATAACATAAGAACAAACCATAACTGTCTGTGTGGTGAAATTGGGTTGTTGAGTTGCTGAAACCAGCTAACCAGCTTACAGCTACAAGTGCATGATTAGCTTTATTTTTTATAGTTCTGTATTCTTTATAAAGAATAATAATAATAATAATTTTCACAGTACCCAGTATATTCAGTTGAAACGGTGATTATGGTAATGATGAGTAATCAATTTCTGTGTAAGTTACAGTATCATTAGTTCTTTAATTTTGCTGAAAATAACAATTTAATAGTGTTTTTAAACCACTGAGACTGAACTTTTTATGCCTTTAAGGCTAATATAAAATACAGAATATGTAATTAATTGTAAATAAACCACATAATAGGATGTATAAAATGTCCTTACTGTCTAACGCCCACTGATGCAAAGGTAATTTGTATTGTTTGTTAATGACTTTAACCTACTGATGATGAATTAATATCTGATTTCACTCCGACTTTTGCGTACTTTTTGGCCATTACTGACAGCGTACAGCAGAGGGCGCTGTTACATTGCAAAGAAATCTAACAAGCACTTGTTAAATTATAGTCTCTCTCAGTCATGTCAGAGTAATTTGGGGAGTTTGTTATAATTTTTGTAATACAAGTTTGTTAAACTGTGATTGAATATGACATCAGTGCTTTGGGTGTTTTTTGTTTTTTTTAAAACAGAAATTATGAAAATGATGGCTACAGATGTTTTAAAGATGGAGAAAGAATACCACTTTACTGACTTGTAAAAGAAAATCTAACAGTTAAACCTAATGGATGTAACGCAAAATATATCACTCTAAGATGTTAAATAAATGTGTATTTTAATGTAATAAAATATTTTTTCCGCCCTTGCTTTCTTCTAATGCTCTTTATTTTGTTTCTGAATAATAACGCTGTCCCAGTCCAGAGCTGCTGTCCTTTTAAGAGGGCGGAGCCTGAGTCTTGTGAGGCTTCACAGCACTTTTCATCTACCTGCTGCCTTCTCCTCTCCGACGTTTTGATTGGCCGTCCTGGCCGGAATCCTCTTGAATGGTTTCAAATCCGAGTGGGTGGACAAGGAGGACGGAGACGAAGGGGGGTCTGCTTTTAATCAGTATCTGCTGTGTTGAAAGGTTTGAATTCTCCGCACAGACACCGCCTCGATATCCAAGTAGTGTTGAAGGTAAAACGTGTTCGAGGGGATATCGTGAGTAAAAGTTGGCTGATAGGTAGCTATGTTCGTTATTTTCACCTAAAACAAGATTTGAGCAACATTAAAAATTTACTGTGTTTTATGGTTTTCGTCATTCGAATAGAGCGATGTCCAGTATAGACGGCGCCTACTGCCCCGGGACGCGGTGTGTTGTGCCGACAGGACCCGCGTCCTGGGACCAGAACCTGGTTGGAAGTCATTGGTAGGCTAATCCACTGGTTTCGTTGATGACGGGATTTGAGTATAAGCAGTTATTTCCGAGATTCATGAAGCCATTTAGTTCTTGCGGGGGGTGCTAGAGCGTCACATTAATATTTAGGTGTTTTAGACATTGTGTTCAAGTTTGGACAGAATTCCGTTTAAATGAGTTTTGAGAATTAATTTCAAGTCGTCATTTAAGCGAACCGAGACTTAGATAGTCATGGCTAAAAATCCGTCCGAGTTGCCAAAGGATGACCTGAGCCAGCTGACGGACGAGGAGCTGCTGCTGTGCAGCAAAGAGGAGCTGGTCCGGAGTTTAAGGAGGGTTGACAGCGAGAAAATGAACTTGATGATCGAGCATGGGAACATGATGAAAGACATCAACCGGCGCCTGCAGGTGCACCTGCACGAAATCCGGAGCCTGAAGGAGATCAACCAGAAGCTGCAGGACGACAACCACGAGCTCCGGGAGCTTTGCTGCTTCCTGGACGATGACCGACAGAAGGGCAAGAAACTGTCCCGAGAGTGGCAGCGCTTTGGCCGGTACACTGCCAGTGCCATGTGGAAGGAGGTGGGCACGTACATGATGAAGCTGAAGGAGCTGGAGGCCAACCAGGAGACAGTGTTGAAGGAGAACTCTGAGCTGAAGGAGATCATCCTTATGCTGGATGAGGAGAGGAACGGACCAGGGTCCAGGAGCTCCATAGACAGTCAGTCCAGTTTGACTAATCTGAATGGCAGGACCGGAACGGTTAGGGATGTTGGGGACGGGAGCAGCACCTCCAGCACAGGGAGTGCTGGTAGCCCCGATCATCACAATCACAACCACATACACAAGCCCACCTCAGAGAACAGTAAGATGGGTCCCACCATGAGGAGGTCCATGGATGACCTGTCGGCACCGCACCATCACAGGAGCATTCCCAATGGACTTAATGGTGAGTACACGTTCTTGGCTGTTATAATGTGAATGCAAGACGAGCTCTTTAAGGTCCAACCAATTAGGCCAGAGATAAATTTCAAAATAAAAACATTTCTTCCCTGTTTTTTTTTTCATTTAACACGGATGCATCAGCCCTTTGATTTGATCATCTTTGTGTCCAAAATCCAAGATCATTGGCTAAAAGTGATGACCAGAAGTTAACCCTAATTTAACCTGATCTCCAGATACTGAACACAAATGTTCTTTTGAGGCCTCTGAATTTACATTTAATTTGAACATTTCTGTATTATTAAACATGCTGTGACCACAAAATGTCATATTACTGTATATATTGGTTTCATAGATAATACATGCAGTCAGATGTGTTGTATAGTGACTGTGTGAGGTTGCACTGGAACATATGCTGATCAAAATCGCTGTGAAGGATTAATATTGGGGGTCTTGGCTTAACCTCATTACAAATTCTTGATTGGGGTGACACACACATCATTGCTCTGTCCTTTGCTACCCCATCACTTAAAACTGCACTGATTTAGGTCACTGCTCTTGTGGTCTTGTCTTTTAGTTGTGGAAGAGCACTCATGTCTGCTTAGGGCCTGTTTGAAATGCATGGTATGGAACCAGAAATCAGTGTCCCTGTTTTTAGAACCTAAATGCACGGCTGAAAGCTCCAAGCTGAGATCAAAATGCCATGATGGAGCAGTAGGACGCTAAGCCTTGTTTAGCTAGTACATGGGCTAATAACTCGCCATGATCTGTGTGGCAAGGGGAATAAACAAAATCCCCCATTTAGCTGAAACGTTTTACCCTGATTTACAAGGACAGGGCAGAATCAGCCTGTATGGGCTCAAAGCAAGCAGCTTCAGAATTGGATCATGGCCATGTTCTGCACTGGACATTCCTGGAATTGTGCATTGTAAAAACCATGAAGGTAACAAATACAAAGGTCATAAGCATGCATGAAGGGAGCGCTTAATCTGGAAACTCGTGCACACACACACACACACACACACACACACACTTGTGGATAGTGTTTGGCTGCCATTACGTAACACCAATATTGTGCCTGCAGTGGCCTAGCACCTCTCTTAGCCGCTGTTCTTCTAGATGTGTGTGACATTGTGCGACCCTGAGGCTCTGCCTCCGTGCGTTCATCCCTTACAAAGAAGTACTCGTATACAGAGACATGCTAGCATAGGGAACTATTTACATTATCTAAGATGCCATCATGTCAGTCGATAGAAACAACAACAAAGTAAAGCTATATTGATCTAAACCCGCTGTTACACCAGTGGTAATTAAGTGTGATAACTGGACTCAGAAGCATTTGGATCAAATAAGTGTTTTATTGCTCCTTCCGATAAGTCATTTACAAAACTTAGCTCGGAGAGAAAAAAACCCACCCGCAGGTCAACGCTATCTTCTACAGGCCGGGGCTTCTTCACCAGCACAGATTTACTCGATTGCCTGCTTGATATCTGAGCAGAGTGACCATGTTGCGAGGTCAGATCTGGCCGCGGTGTGAGGTCTGTAGAGTGGTTTTAGGCAGTGTCCAAATGCCAATGGCTCCCTGGGGCATTTGGGAGACAAGCTCAAGGATTGCCGCTCAAGTGCTAAATGAACAGCATCTGTCTGTGTGCCAGACACACACAGACTGGAAAAAAGAAGAAAAGGGAGGATAGAAGTGAGTTTGGTGTCCTAAGAGGGAAAACCAACCACCTGTTTGAGCTAGAGGTTTGTTTTTATTCCCTTTTCCTGAAATTTTTATGCTGTAATGGCTTTTAATCTTTTTAGTAAATTCAACTATATTACATTTCTATTTCTGTAAAGGCACTGTGAGAGGTGTGTGAGGGAGTGGCTGAATGGTGGTGAGGGGTTGGCTGGCAAGCTTGGGGGTTTATTGTTTGGGGGGGAACTCTCGGAGGGTGTATTGTGCTCAAAGGAGGCTGGGTTTAGGAGGCATCCTGCTGTCTGCCTTATTGAATTCGCCCACACACCCCCTCCTCCCCAAAACTTCTCTTCCAGTCCGGATACCGGCTGCGTGTGTATGCATGTTTATTTGGACAGGGTGTGTGCTGTAATGTGTGAGCAGAGCGAAGGCTTCTGTTCAAGAAGACATGAAAAAGACACGGCAGGAGGGGCTACGCTGAGTACAACAGTTTGGTAACCCCCAGACATCTCAGGGTCTGCATTTACTTTTGGCTGTCTTGGACCCAATTCCAGTCAAAGACTGTCTGAAATATGATGCTGTCACAGAGAGCTTGCATTAGTCTCTATACAGACTGAGCAGAGCCTTATGAGATTAAGACAGAGTGGCCAAGTGAGACAGCAAAGTGCTGTGTTGACATTGTCCAGATGAACTGATAAAGGTCCCCTCTACTATATTGCTTGTTGACCCTTAACTGACCCTCAAACATTCCCCTGGCCTTTTAGTTGCCAAATAGTTTTATAGGAACAATATTTCTAATTTAGCAGCAGATAAAGTGACTCTTAATGTTAGTTTTGCTACTTTTACCACAGCAGCAGCTGAAGGGACAGTGTGGCAGCTCATGTTGTGCAAGGGACCATTTTATCAATTAAGTGTGTTAGAAGGTGGTCTATGATGTCACCAGTATAATGAACGACTTTCCTGAAAGCTGGCTTTTTTGAGTCCAACTATAATAGATGCCATCTGGCTCTAGTTATTCAGTGACTATTATTGTACCTCTGCTGATGTGTCTAAGGGCATTGCATGCACATGGTCTGGTGCATGTACATTAATGCAAACATCGATTTAGTATTTTAGTCCAGCTGTGCAGAGATAACCGAGGCTGCTTCTAGCACATCTATGCAGCACACACATACACTATGTGTGTGTTTGTTTTTCCATGTGTGTGCCAGAGGGCAGCTTCTGTTGACTGCTAGATTTTAATGCTAAAGCAGTGGACCTTCATCACTAAAAAGTTTACACTGGCCTTTCCCTCTCCTTCCTTCTCCCATAGAGGATTTACCACATCAGCATGTATAATGGTAAAATAGCAGAATACTAAATTTATGCATCAAGTTAAACTTTAGCGAACTGTAGTTTGTGCATTTGACCAATAGCAAATTGTCTTGACAGTGGTGACCTGTGAGAAGATGTGTGTGGGTGGTTGCGCGCGCACGTATGTGTGTTGGGGGTGGAAAGATTGTGTTATTGTGGCTTGTTAGCTGTGTCGAATGATCAACCTTTATTTACGCTTCCTCTGTTAGAGTATGAACTGCTTCCCTGAGGAGGTATGTGATTTGCATACAGTTATGAGATGCAAGTACAAATGTCATTTTGAATAAACCCTGTGAATTTATTGTCCCGTTAGTGACAAGAGTTAACAGTTAGCAAGCTTGTTACAGCAGCTTTAGAGAAATATTTTTCTTCAATTAAATTCTTTACTGAATGAAATAATGTGCGATCCTGCAAACAAAGTGCCAACAGTACAGCCTGTTAGCCCTGTGAGAAGTCATCACAAAGCTTACAGTAAAGGTGCAGCGATGATTTTCACTGTGTCTCTTCCTGGTGTGACCAGGCCTTAAAGCTTTCTAGACTTTATCACAGATTCTGGCAGCTCACGTGTGTCTCAGAAACCAGTCCGATGGGTTAGTGATTCATTGGAGATAAAGATTTAGAAGAGCTTCAGCAAATGCATTAATGTGGATTTGATTTATATGTTTTCATGTTAAACCAGACCACTCACACTATCCTCCTGCATTTAATCTCTTGAGTAAATTGTGTCTTATTATATGGGGTGCTACAGTAAGTGAGATCTCTTCCCCTTTTGATTTATAGGCTTTTCTCAGAGTCCTGTTCTCTTTCTTCAGTTTCTTTTTCTTTTACCCTTGGGGAGTGACGTGACCTAAAAACTAATGACGAAACTGTAGAACCAGCCCTCCCATTTGGCCACCAGTGTGTTTTTCATCATGCTAATGCAGATTAGTCAGTGCCTTGATATTCACGTTCATGCGCAACTGAAGCATCTAGTTATTTTTCCCTCAGAGGGCAATTATCAATAATCTTTCAAAGTGCTGATCAAACAAATCTGTGGTGTCGGCTTTCAAATTAAAAGATCTGTTGGGAAAGAATCTAAGTTCTTGTTTACTGTAAAATAATCACCACTTTCATTTTTTTCCAAGAACAAGTCAGGTGTTCAGTCTCTCTCTCTCTCTTTAAATAAACATCAATCATTCACAGCTAGTCAAGGTCTGCCTTGCCGTTTTTCTGTGCGAGGGCCTTTCTTGTTGCAAAGGAAACCGGTGCATCCACAACACAATGGTGGTTTCCTCTGGGCCATGATTTGAAGTCATTGTGTGGAATGTCTGCGAGGCTAAAAATAGTTTGCATGCATAGAGATAGGTGGATGTTTCCGTGGCTGATATCCTGTTTGTCCACTGTTCTTGTTCGTTCAAGATGCCGACTTAATTTCTCATAACTCTACTCCTGGTTGTTTTGTATTTTTCTTATTAAATGCAATACATCCGTGGTGCATAATCAGAACTTTAAAAAAGGAAAGCTGACTTGCATTTTCTTCCAGCACCTTGTCAATCTGTGAGGCCTGGTTTGCTGGCATCATGGATAATGGAGTAGAAACACACACTCTCAGCTGTGCACAGTCAGTGAAGAGCCAGCCTGTCAGGATGTCCCCAGGAATGGGACTGCACCGAAAGAGGCACAGCATGTGTCTCCAGGTCACTTTTTAAATGTTTGCCTTCCTGTCTTCTCTTATCCGACAAACTCCACTTCTCCAGTTTTCCCCTTAAGTCTCCATCTGCACCCATCCCTCTCCTGACTGCTATGGACCTGTGGTTTGATCTGCTGTCCATTCATTGCCATCAACACAGCACTTGGCTGACAGAATGAGGTTATTGAGCCAGCATGAGTCTTGTGCATAAAGACATGGACTCTGTAGAACTTAATGTGGTGCCATTTTACAAAAAATGAGTTTTCAATAGGTTCTGTATGGTGTTATGTAGTTACCCCTGTTA